CACGGTGTCTGACGTACAATCCCGTGCAATAACCAAATGAAAAAAGCACGGGTTGTTACATAAGACCCGTGGAATAACAGTAACATATCAGTAAAATATTGGAATATCACTATATCTTACTCTTAATCTAAGAGTGCTAAGAATAAGATATCGGGATATCCCAATATTTTACTGATATGTTAATGTTATTGTTCATATGTTATGATAATGTGAAAAATTTTTGCCTTGATATTTTTGGCATCAAACAACATTATCATTTATGCAAACTGTCGCGACAAAAAATTCCACATCCTAACATAATATGAACAATAACATCGATATTGGACATACGTACGAAAATAACAAAAAATTTTTTTCATCGTATACCCAATATAGTATCTTACATATGTAGTAAGTGGGAATGGCATTTGAAATTTCCTAGTTAAATTAGGGTTAGGGTTAGGGTGTACAGTACTGTACATATGATAAAATCAACCCAAAACGGGGGGGTTTTATATATAACGATAATTCCGAATCCACTTAAATTCCGTTTCCACTTACAACATATATATTGGCTTTGTTAATCAATACAATAATTTCTAAACATAAAATACGTAGGTACGACAATGAGGATAATTCACTTACAAATTAAGAATTTATGAACTGTACGATGACGATGAGACGTGCTCAAAGATATACTAACTAAATTGGTATAGAACGTACATTAAATTCTGAATTGGGTTTTCCGAAGGAGTGGGGAACTGAAAGCACGTATAGTGGACTGTACACATGGTTTTATTCTGCTGGAAACGAAACGTTTCATATTTTATTGTTTTTCATCCTATTAAGTTTCCATATGACTGAGTTATAGTGAACCAATGTTTTTCAAAATTAAATTAAAAATTAAGTTTCAATCGAATCAAATATTTGGGTTCTTTTGCTTTGAAAATCACCTACCGACATTTCCGATAGGGAATTCGGACAAATACAGACCCGAGTATCGGTTTGTGTTTACAGTAAATTACAGCTGTTTTCATAAATTCTGGAACATCTGGAAAAGAATTGATCGACCGAAAATTTATCGATGCCTTTCTAGCAGTAATTCACAACTTTCATCTTATTGGAAAGAACCCGATTCGACGTAATTATTTCTAGAACACCTTTTTTTTTAGTGCCTGAAGCTACACTTGCCTAAAACTCCTAGCTAATGCACAAATTTCAGGGGCCAATTTCAATCAGACGCAACTTCAAACGATCAAAGCACATCAATTTACACGTTTTTCCTTTTCTATTCACCACTGGATGATCCAAGTTACATAATTTTTCTGTCACCTTTTTTGACGGAACTGGGAATGATATCGTCAATAAAAATGTAAATCTGATTGTCATTAAGTTATTGTCTGCACTTTCCAAAAGTATTTGAGAAAGGATTTTCACTCAGCTATTCCAAACATATTTCTAAATCCTGTCAAAATAATGATAAGCCGTAATGAACATCAAATGTTTATCGTTACGTATAACTTATCGAATTTGCAAGTCATTTGGTCGACCACGATCTGCAAATTTTATCAGAGTATTGCTGTTTTGTATTACAGCAGAGACAGTGCCCGATCCAAAGTGAATCCCTCTCGCCTATGATCAATCACAAATTAAATTATTTATGTTGGATTCAATATAATCCCTCACCAATGTGTAACATTAACGGTCTCTGCTGTAATTTTGTATTTAGACATATTAATATGGGCGGATTTTGTGATGTTGGTGATATTTTCGAATGTATTCAAATTAGCAAAATTTGTGATTATTGCGAATTCGTCTTACATTGATTGGTTACTTTTACGACACCTCTGCTTTTTTTTTCTTTATTATTGCGGTTTGAAAAATCGTATTTACACGCAACAAAGCTTTAATTTCAAAGATCTCTAAATGACCTTTTAAGATCCCGAAATGGGTACAACCTTATGCCAAAGGTTAGTTTTTTTAATATTATAACGGTTAAAGTACTATTTACTTTTTACAAAGCTTCTGCTTTTTATTCATTAATACAGTGGTTCGAAATTTTGTACTTATACTCAATAAGATCTTAGTTTCATAGATCCCAAAATAGTTTTTCAAGATTAAGATAGACAAAACTTTTATTAGTAACAATGTTGAAGATTTGCCATGTAGAACTATAGGACTCTGCAAGATATAGTTGGGCGACTTTTGAAAAAAGTTCTTAATTTGAGAAATTATAGACAAAGTATTAAAGATTAGGAATAGTTAATTAAATATGCAGAGGACGATTAAAATATTTAGTGTAAATTAATAAAAGTTTTTTTTAAAAAAAAACTTAAAAGTATTCTGTTAATATTTTGCACTATATAGAACCGTTAAATAGTTTGGATTAAATAATCAAGTATGCAGTAATAACAAGGTTGTTAAATTGTGGTTGATTAAACCCATTAGACATATAAAAAAAAGCAATTAGACATTGTCTAAATAACAACCCTGGTAGTAGTTCATAGTTATTTTGCTAGTTACCTTATATAGTAAGTGGAATGCCGTGTGCTTTCATTCTTAAGAAAAAACCCTATAGTAAACGATTGAAAAATATTCATATCTCATGATCTATCAAACCGATTTTGATCATGAGAATCAGAAAAATTATCTCTACAATTTTTATTATAAGCAAAAGGAAGGTTTACTTAATAAAAATATGTAAGCAAGCCCCGTTTCTATAGAATCGACTTTGTTTAGGTATTACGAATATCACATGCAAATTCAGGTGACATAGTTGAATAGCTCATATCTTATATGCTTGCAATCAAAATCAGCCGTAATGTCTAGCATTTTTTTCTTGAAAGGTCATTATACTGTATGTACAGTATTTATTTTCTCTAGGATAAGATTTTATTCTAGAATTTTACATTGACTAAATTGACTGAAATTCACTTGAAATAAAATTCATTTTTCACAGAACACGAAAAAGAAAGTTGATTATTTATACAGATAAACATACCAGATGTTTATCTGGATTTTTTTTTTATTTACTTATTAAATTATCCCATTGATCCTAATTTTATCTAAAAGATAAATTCTAAAAAAAAAACACTCTACTCCAAATATATAATATAAATTTATATATATGTGTATCAAAATAATAAATAAGTTCAATTATTTACGACTAAGCCAGAAATCCTTAGACTCACTATATCCTGGGTTGTTGAGAAGCAAAATTACTGCAGTACATTTAAATCTTTTTTCCCAATCTTTATCATTGTTATCATTGTATTTCTCATTATATTTATCATTATATTTATCATTGTATTTATCATTGTATTTATCATCGTATTTATCATCGTTTTTGTAACCATCGTTTTTATCCTCCTTTTTGTAACCATCGTTTTTATACTCCCTTTTGTAACCATCGTTTTTATCCTCCTTTTTATAACCGTTGTTGTAGTCATTACCATAGTCTTTACCATAGTCATTACCATAGTCTTTACCATAGTCTTTACCATAGTCATTACCATAGTCTTTACCATAGTCATTACCATAGTCTTTACCATAGTCATTACC